AACATGAACAGATAGAATGTGATAGAACAAATATTTAATGAGTCAATGATAGCAGTAAAGATTAGAACATGTTTTCCTACTTGTAAATATGTTTATGTAGATATATTTGTCTTTTCCAGTTAAGATGTTGCATTAACTTATTTGACTGAATGCTTTAAGGAAGCTTGGGGAAACACTCTGTGCTCTGCACTCTCTAGAGTCCATTTAAATTCACTGGTTACTCATTAGGACTTAATAAGGGCTTATCTTTTATTATGACATCTATATGAGTTAGTATACAGGGGTTAATTCTATGTGGTAGTATCTTTTTAAGAGCTAAGTATAAATTGAGGAATCCTTGCAAAGATCTCTTCAAGAATGGTGGCCTTTGAGGAATGGGCAGCAGAAGAGGGCAACACACAACAAAGGACAAAGCAGCTTCCCCCTTGCTCTTTCTGCTCGGTAAGCTTTGGTCCAGAGGCAGTCAGTTCTTACTGTGCTATCTATCTCCTCTCCCCTGCTTTTACAGTACTTATTCCATTTTTTTTCAGAATAATTGTTTATTTATTTATCTTCCCTTTTAGATGAAAGCCCTTGAGGTGAAGATATTTCTAGTATTCCTGCCAGAATATGTGAGAGCACCCAACAAAGGCTTCTGCATATTTATTGGAAGAATGAATAGAGAAAGATGGAAGGAAGATGTCCTGATTAACACATGCAAAGTTCAGCTCTATAGGAAGACTAAGTGAGAGATTTAAGTCATGCATATTTTAATCAGCTTTATTCAGTCAGTCTGCTCTGTATAATATAAAATATAGTACAATACCATATAAAATGAATATATGATATTTTATATATATAATTTCTTTCCTGGTGTGAAAATTTTGCAAGATATTTAAAATAAAATACACTTTCTTAACTACCTTTCTCCAAATACCCAAAACAAGCCATGCATATTATGAATGCTAAGAAAGTATTTATTGATTGATTAAAATTGATCAGAGATCCTAGGATCTCATTTACCATTCAGAGAGTGGACAAAGAGGGAAGCCATTCTACATACATACTCACCCAAGGGTAGAACACAGGGCAGCTGAAAGAAATGAGGTGGTGTTGGTTCAATGTCCCTGAAAGGAAAATCACTACTAGGTTGGTTGCTTGTGACCCTGAAATATTGTTCACTAACAAATTGACTCTGTTATTCCAATAAACTCAGGGATGATTCTTTTAGACTACAGAAAGAAAACTGTATTTTTTTTTATATGAACCAATGACTCAATGAAACTAAATCAATCTTGGGTCACAAACAAGAAAAAGTAACTTAGCTGAAGTTTTAGAGAGAAGTGAAAATATAGCCAGTTAATATATGTACAGTGGAGAAAGTGAGTGGTAGAAAGGCCAGATAATGGTGACACAAGAAAAAATGAAGAGGAGAAAATGAGAAAAGGAAAAATAGACAGAAAAAGAGGCTTATAAGGAAAAGGACAGAAGCAAAGACCCCAGCAGGTTTTAATAGTAATTACCATGATGTTTTTTTCTTTCCTTTTTAAAAAGAAATTCACTCATTTTTATTTTATTGGTATAAGTGTTTGCTGGTGTGTATGTGAGTTTGTCATATGTCTGCCTGGAGCTAGCTGATACCAGAAAAAGCACTAGATTCCTCAGAACTGGAGCTATAGATGTAAGCTATAGATGTGTGGTGCCAGGTCCTTAAAAGAGTCACAAGTCCTGCTAACTGTTGAAACAATACTCAAGCCTAACATTTCTTCCGATTTTTGAGATAGGAGTGCATATATCCAAGGGTGGCTTTGAACTCACTGTGTAGCTGAGGATGGCCTTGAATACCAGTCTTCTTATCTCTATCTCCCATGTGCTAGGATCACAGGCATGCTTCACCACACCTGTTTCATGCAGTGCTAGGGATGGAACCTAGGGCCTCATGCATACATGCTAGAAAAGCACTATCCTAACTGAGCGGCAGCTCTGCCTACGGTGGTAATTTCTAAGTTCCTTCCTTAAAAGAGTTTTTTTCCCCTTGGCCATTTGCATCTCATGATGGGGAAAGGAATTAGTTCTCACTCCTATTATGTTGGTGGTAAGGACGAATGAGAACTCTTGCTTCCTGCTTCCTAGTCCTCTGTGTTTATCTGTGGGTAATGGATGTAAATTGCGCTTGTTCAGCTGTGTATTTGCTTGAATGTCTCTGAGTACATTGTCACCTGTTATTGCTGCTCTTTGAAAGCCTAATTACAGCACCTCTGCTAGCACCGAGCCACAGTTTCTAACACAAGAAAACAGCTTGTCGGTTTTTATTTCCAAACTTTAAAGTTTATTTTTGAAATAAATGTTTACTTCCCCATGGGCTTCTGGATCTTTTGCAGGTGTGTGAAGGAATGAGTCTGGCTTTAGAAAATTGCTTTGGAACATTAGAGATAGCTCTTGGTTTCTGTGCTCTCACCTGAGGTCCTCCCTTGGAGCAGAAAGCTGTCAGGTTGAGATATGTTGTTATTTCCAGTGGTCAGCATGTTTTCGTCATGGAGAAGTAAATATGTAAATTTATAATTAATTAGTGTATCTTTGCTGTGGAATGAAAGTTGCCTGTTTTATTTAAACAACATAAGCATTTAAAATATTTAACAAGACATATAGAATGGGTAACTTAAAAACATTATTACATTTTTATTAATTTTATTTCACGTGTGTGGAGCTGTACACATGCAAACTTTGTCAAAGTAGAGCTTAGAGGACAGTTTTTGGGAGTTAGTTCTCATTTTGCATCTTAGGTACTAGGAATCAAACTCAGGTTGTCAGTCTTAGGGCAAGAGTCTTTACCTACAGAGATATCTGGATGACTCAGAATGAAGAACTTTTCATTATTAAAAAATGTCTATATGCCTCTTCCCAAGGGTTACAGATACGAGAGTCATGCTAATTCTTGTAGTGAACACAAGACTAGAACCTCAAATTCTATATGCTGTCCACCATACAAGCACTAACAGTATTAGCCACACTATTATCTACTTCTTCATTTGTCTTACTCTGGCAAGCCATCTTGGGAGAAAGAGAGAATAAAAGGAGATAAGTGAGGGTCAGAGGAGAAACAGAGAGAAGAAGCCTTGGTCTATGCCGCTTTTGATTCTAGAATGTGCAGAGCCAGGGTGCTTTGCTTATCTGGATTATCTGAGAACTGCTGAGCCTACTGAGAACTTTGTCCCCCACCCTTTTAAAAATATTATGTTTAAGTACGCATGAGTATAGAGACTATGTTACAGTTCCTGATCACTTTTTACAGAATGAACATGCCTATGTGACCAGGATCAGAGCAAGACAAGGATATTACTCAAGGGTTCTGATCTTGTCATCTCAGTCTTTGCTGTGTTACTAGGGGTCTTAACCTTATAACGTAAAGTGATGTTGTCACCTCAGTCCACTGAGAAGTGGACTAGTACATATCATTTAGTTTGGGTTTTATTTCAGTAGTCAGATGGTATTCATTCTTTTATGTCTGACTTCTTTCACTTACATCTGTATGTGAGAATCATCTATGACGTGGCATGCAATAGAAAGTCTCTCCTTTTTATAGTATTCTCTTGTATGAGAACACTGTAATAGGTGAGTTTCCATTCTTTTGGAGTCTTAGGTTTCTTTTAGTCTGGGCCTTGTAAGAACAAGCTGTTCTGAATATTCTTTAATATGCCCATGGTGTATGTACATGTGCATTCATTTCTATTAGATGTATAATCTAGGGAAAATAGAATATTATTTGGATTTCCCACGTTCTTGGTCCCTGGTGTGCTGGAGAGATGGCTCAGTAGTTAGAAGCACTTTCTATTCTTACAGAAATTGTCTCCCTGAACCCATGTCAGGCAGCTCATAGCTGCCTATAACTCCAGCTGCACATATCTGATGCACTCTTCTGGCTTGTATGGGTACCTGCACTCAAGTGCATATAACCCCAGAGAGACAACACACACACACACACACGCACACGCACACGCACACACACACGCACACACACTTAAAACATAAATAAGTAATAGCCCAAGCCAGGAAAACAAATACATTTTAAAAAAATACCTTCATATATCTTAGAAATATTTTCACACACATGAAGATTAGATCTGCAAGCATTTAAGGGCAAACACTTTTATTTCTCTCCCTGTACTGTGGAGAGAGGCACTCAGGTTGGCCTCATTTTGGAGGCTGCTACTCTGTTCACTGAGATGCTGATGTGACTCTCTGACTACTACCTGACATTTGGAATAAATGTATTTACATGAAAAAAACAAATCAAGAGGGTCATTCCAAGGAAAGGAGAAATAAAATTCATATTTGTCCTTAGATCATGGAGAATCTTATCATTGCATATGAAATGTATCCACTAATCTCCCTGTGTAACCTCAGGCACAAGCAGAAAAAGGTGGGTATGTTAGAGGACTCACGGTGAAGTAATAAAAAGAAAATATGACTTCACTCCAGAATACCTCCCATATGTGTTCTGGATAAAATTATTTAAGACAAATAATAATGAGAAACAAAATTGCTGACTCTTATTATGTCTGCATCAAGCTTAGCAGACATTCCCAGGATCCATTTACATTCTTAGCAGTAGATTTTTGGAGACTTTTGCTCAGAATCACTGAGGCATACTCAGTGTGTGGAAAGGCCCAGTGTTATGTGTGGGGCCACCCCTTGGCTGGTGGTCCTGGGTTCTATAACAAAGCATGCTGAGCACTTAGGAGGAGCAAGCTACTAGACAGCAACCATCCATGGCCTCTTCATCAACTTCTACCTTCAGGTTCCTGCTCTGTTTGATTTCCTGTCATGTCTTTCCTCAGTAATGGACTGTTACCTGGAAGTACAAGTAAAATAAACCCTTTCCTCCTCAGGTTGATTTTGGTTTATGGTGTTTCATCACAGCAATGATAATCCTAACTAAGACAGTAAGTTTTAGTTTTAGGCACTATGCTGTTTCTACCATTTTATCTCCTTATGCGTTTAATTTGTGTTTTGCCAGGTGACCAGTGAATTTCATTAGTTGTTTTATAGGCATTTGGCAATGTATATTTCCCATTTTTTTAAAAAAAACATGCAGGTTACATTACTTGCTATTATTATTCCTGGGATTCATCTTCTCCTTATCCTCTTCCATTTGTAGAGATTCCTTTCCCACACAAATTCTCCTATATACCCAAATCTCTATCATGAACCATTTTAAGTGATAAGTAGCACAAATACACTTCCCACACTGCCTTATTTTTCATTCAATTTATGGCCATTTGATAGTCCCAATTTTAGTTAACTGTGATTCATCAATCTTACTTTATGCTTAGTGGGTTTTGTCTCATTTAAAAGTAATCTTTTCCTAATCCTAATGTCATGAAGATAGTCTCTGTAGTTACCATTTACAAACTTCAATCTTTACTTCAGTATTCTGTACTACATTCCCCTTGGCAATGACTCTTATGTTAAGAATGAGAGATCCAGATTTGTTTTGAGGATTGTATGAGTAGGGTTTTCTAGAGGAACAGACCTATAGAATGTATATATTACACAAGGGAATTTTCTATAGTGGCTTACTAGCAGTAGTGCCTGGGTACTTCAGTAATGCCCATCTGCATGCTAGAGAGTCTGAGAGGTAGTTATCTGATCAGCCCATGAGTCTTTAATAGTCTTCATCCTGGGGCTAAGAACCTGGAGGATTCTTGAAGAGCCGTGGTCTTCAGTCCACATGGGAAGGTGAAGCTGGGTTCAGATGTCAGTGAGGAGTGGCAGCACAGGTAACAGAGACAGGCTATGCACATTCACTATCAATAAAGAAATGAAGGGAGGCAAGCAACATTGAGTTTTTCTTCAGTGTCTTCCCATCTGTGTCACCATGGCAAGGTGATACCCATTCTGGGGTAAGGTACTCTACCACCAGTCTATTCTTACAGGACATGCTCTCGCTGACTCACTCTCCAAGTTTATTTCTCAGGAGATGCCACCTCTAAACAAGCTGACAATCATGATTAACGGGCACAAGTGTTTCAAGGTATCTGACCCAGATCCCCTCGTCACTGATGTGTTCTGGCCTTGTTTTTTGATGATGTCTCTATCAAGCCTCTCTCTCTCTCTCTCTCTCTCTCTCTCTCTCTCTCTCTCTCTCTCTCTATCTCTATCTCTATCTCTATCTCTGTGTCTCTTTTTATCTCTATCTCTCTGTCTTTGTCTCTCTCATGCATGTGCACTTTGGGGCTTTAATTCTGTTTTGTTTGTCTATTTGTCACTTCTCATAAAAGGGGCAATTTATCTTACTTTGCTTTTGTAATTAGCATGAACATTAATAAATGTTTATAGAAAAATAAGCGGCTGGGATTTTGATGAGCGTGGTGTCAGATGTGTATTAGTATGGAGAGAACTGTTATCTCTGGCAACAAAGTCTACCACCTCAAGAACACACCTACTGTTTACATCTTGACTTTGATTTTGCTTCTTTTTTTCACTTCATTTAATTGGATAGTTTATTTATTTACATTTCCCATTTTCCCCTCCAAAAGCTCCCTATCCCATCCCCCCTCCTCCTGCTTTTATGAGGATGCTCCCCGTCCACCCACCTACCCTGGCATTCGCCTACACTGGGGCATCATGTCTTCACAAGACCAAGGGCCTCTTCTCCGGTTGATGCCCGACAAGGCCATCCTCTGCTACATATGCGGCTGGAGCCATGGGTTGCTCCATGTGTACTCTTGGTTGGTGGTTTAGTCTCTGGAAGCTCTGGGGGGTCTGGTTGGTTGATATTATTGTTCTTCCTACGGGGTTGAAAACCCCTTCAACTCCTTCTTAAATTCTAATATCCTGGACTTCGAGAGATGGGGTCAATGGTTAAGAGTACCACCTGTTCTTCCATAGAACCTGTGTTCAATCTTATGGAGTCATTTTCTCAGTTGACTCAGAGGACTACAGTTTGTGCCAAGTTGACATAAATCTTGCTAGGAAGGTGGGGAGGGGGTGGGTGGGTGAGGTTGTCCAATCTCTTCCTTTGGCCTCTGGAGACACCAAGCATATACACAATGAACAAACATATATGCAGGCTAAATATGTATACACATAAATAAAACTTAAAAAGGGTAAATGTTAATTTCTTATTTTCTAAAGTAATTTCATTAATTTTGAAAGTGGATTTCCTTATTACACTCACATAATTATAGAAGCATTAAAGATTATGTTTTATCTAGAGATACTCTGATTTTCCATATGAAAAATCATGCACCCTGATGATAAGAACAGTTATGTCTTATCTCTAGTCATCCTGGTATTATTTCCAACTTTTGGGGGCCATCTCTCAATAATTGACTCTTCATCTGATTTATGAAACAGGATTTTTATAGCTAACTATTTATAAAGGAAGAACTATTTCTAGTATACTATACATTTTTTCTTTTAAAGATTAAATTTATGAGAGAGTGTGGATTGTTTCATTTTCTGCACCTATTGAGATGATCACATATTTTTCTTATTCTGCCAATGTGCTAAATTGCTGCTTGATTTTTCAGATGCTAATCTCTCCTTGTATGGGTCACAGTGCTGGAATTAAGCCAACATGATTATGATATATTACCCATTTTGTGTATTTCCAGATTTGATTTGCATTTCCCTCCTTAAGAGAACTTGTTGGGTAACAAAATGTTCCTTGTGGAGATGCAACACATGTGTCTATTTACCAAGGTAGGGAACCTATCACAGACTTACTAAAGTATGGATACCACCAAAGTCCAAGTTGGTGAATTAATAAGTTTTATTGGAGTTGTTAACTGGAATATGAGTGAGAGAGTACTATAGGAGCAGAAATGACCCAAAGACAGCTGTGTATGAAATAGGTGATGACTCACAAATATTGGAACCTGTATTACATTGCACAGTCTGCAGGCAATTCAAGAGGTCGGAGAGTGTCTTTCAAAATGTGTCAGTTGGTCTAAATCTCTTCCAGACAACTAGGCAGGTTTCAGAGTCTGCTTTGCAGCTTTGCTTTCTCTTCTAAAGTGAATTCTCAACCTTTACTGTTTACACTGGGAGGGAGAAGCCTAGTAAATCTGGTTAGTTTCAGGGACTTCCTGAAGGCATTTTCAGTTGTTTACCTGTTTCAAGAGCTTCCCTGCAGGATAGAATATTTTATACTTGAAGGGAACTATTAGACACCAGAACTGTGCCTTTGAAGGAAAAACTTAAGGATTCTTTGTAAAGTTGTTTGGATAGTGTTTTGCTGGGGTAAACACATGAAGTGACATTTAGCTGAAGTAGACACAGGTGAAAGACTAAGGCAGACTTGGGAAGGAATATAACATAAAGTAGCCACGGGTAAAAGAATTTTCTGTTAAAGCACATAAAAGGACACATGATGAAGGATTCTTGGCTAACAGTACACATATATTAGTCCCCTAATGTTACATAGTTGAGTTATATTTGTCGAGACTCCATAGAGAGAAACACATCAAAAAACTTCTCATGGTGTATTATAATTTTTTTGTTGCTTTTGCAGGTGAAGGCTGATTGACAAAGTGATACCAACTGAGACAGACACACATGCTAAGACAAAACACATGCTGAGACAAGACCCATGTTAAAACAAGACCCATGATGAGTCAAGACCCATAGAGGATACAAAATGTTTAAAGGATATAAATAAGACTTGACAGACAGTGACAGAGTCCAAGGTTTGCTTGCTTATAGAGCTAGCTGTACAATGCTTATGTGGCTCACATCTTCGTTGATCTTTGCTTCCCTGAGAGAGGCACAACTGAAAACTTCTGTTATTCCTCTGGTCCCTTGTGGGGCTGTGAGACAGCTGGGTAACTGGTACTTTGAACCCCGGAGACCCTCAGGGATGGAAGGAGTTTGGCCTTGCTGCTGGGCCCCTGGTTCCTTTCACATAGCTACAGCCCCTCCTACAGAAAGGTTTGTGGCCATCGGCCACATAGCACAGGTAGAGGGTGTGACTACAGGCCACAGAGCCTCAAAATAGATCTCCATGTTAATGAGATATCTAAAGGCTAGAGGCCATAGGAAATTAAGCATTCTTTCCCAGACCCTCCTCCTTGCAAAAGGTATTTCTCAGGCCCATCCTGAGAATACAGGGTATAGCCTCATGCATTTTTTGCCATGACAATAAATATCTTAAGACCATATCTTAAGACCATAGATTATTTCTCTTCTTTGGGGCCCATGGTGGGGAACCGTGGAGAAGGTCTTCAACTACAGAGTCACAGTCTAATCTCCCACCAACAACCTTTCTAAGTTCCAGCCATGGAGGCCCAGCCAAGCGAGTCTCTGTGGAGCTCATCTCTCCCCCTTCCCCCTTGGCTGCAGATGGATCCAGCCTGTATGCCTCCATCTCTACTCTTCCACAGCCTCTCAGCAGCACTTGAGAACCCAAGGGCCAGAGAACCAGTTGGTTCCTGGCTGCCTCCTGGCCCAGGGACCCCCCCCCTCAACTCAAGAGCTCCACTCCCTGTGGGGCCCCAGACTGTGTTCCAGACTGTGTTCTTCGCACCCCAGAGTAGAGTCCCGCGGCTTCTCACAGCCCAGCGTCTGCCCAGTGCTGTCATAGAGTGAGCACAGTCAAATTCCCATGCCTCTGCCTCTCTGAACCACGGCCCCGGCCCCTTGGAGGCTGCAGATACAGGACCCATAACTCAACTCACAGGACCCATGCTCATGCGCAAGATATAGCCCAACAATCCCTCCTGTTGTCTTGTGACTTGTGACTGAGGCCTGCCTGTCTCTGCTAGATAGTGCCACTAGTGCTGATTCATTTTTGCAATCCTGATTCTACTGAACTGGACTACTCTTGTATTCAACAAGTGTTTGTGAATGGATTGGGCTACCATTGCTAACCTATGAACTAAACTGCCAATGTCCAGACAACACAAACATGAGTTGCTCCAAAGAACCTTTTTAAACAGGTCCACTTCCCCCATATCCTTTCTTTTCTACTATCTCATTAAAAATAAGATTTAAAAAAATTAAAATTACACACCTTTGTTTCATAAGTAGATGGAAATAAATTGGTAAACATTGTTTGTATGTTTGAAGGAGTGCAAAGTCTGTAGTTTGGGTATTCAAGATATATCAATTAGACAAATTAGCTCTGGTCTTTAGTTTTATTGATGCACTATTCTTGAAATCACTGAGACAGGATTGATAAAAATACTCCTTTCAATATGACTGTATTTTAATATTTATTTTAGTTACATCAGCAACTGGGTTACATATTTTAGAACCATGCTATTAGAAAGTATACTACCACCTTACTACCTTTCTAGTGAGTTGACCCATTTGTCCTTAGAAAGTGTGAACAATTTATTTCTCCCCTGATTTCTAGTAATGCTGTTTCTTGCTTTAGAAGTGATTCCATCTAATTATCACTATGGCAAATCTTTGAGCTGTTGCTTTTGAGTCATGTTTGGTTTCTTTACTTCAAGCCCACAGACACTATTCTCCTCTTTTAATAAGGCCATATTCATCTAGACCTTGAAATATCTTTACCAGGAACTGATGATTTCTGTCCTTATGTTTCTGAACTTCTACCGTTCATTGTTTTATCTTCTTCAAGGAACTCTGGAACTTCCTTGCTTGGTGTTCGGCCATAGTGAAATTTATTTTTAGTTTTGTTTGTTTGAAATGCCTCTATTTTACAATTATTTTGGATGCATTATTTATAGTAAGTATACCATCCTAATTTTAAGGTGCTCACTTTCTTTCTTTATTTTATTTTTTTAAATTTTTTCTCAAATCATAATTAATTCACACAGGGGTATAAACACAGAAAGGCAGGATGTGGGGAAGGGAATGACACTGGAGTTTGGGTGTTCAGGGGGAATACAGATACCTTCAGAACCGGGTATCGGCTGGGTGAATGTTCAGGGGACAAGTCACTATGACTCTGCCTATGACTCGGTTGTCCTTATCTAAGTTGGTAGGTGCTCACTTTCAGTATTTAAAAGATTTCATTGTTTTTTTTTGATTCTTTAGTTTATATTGAGAAATTATCTTCTGTCCCCTGGCTACCTGTTGAAGATGAGACATCTTGTAACAGTTTCTTTTTGATATGGTTTTAATAGAGGGTTCTTGAATCTGTTTAATTTTTTTATTGTATTCTTGCTTGAGGTTTGTTTTACATCTTGAATAAAGATAGGCAGAGAGACAGATGATGCTGTGGTGATTGGAAAATTTGACATGAGATCTACTCCCTTAACAAAACTTTAAATATATAGCATAGTGCTTAACTAGAGGTATGGTATACCAGACTGTACAAGGTCTGCAGCTTTTTTTGTGTGTGTGTAAAACTCTATACCTCTAATGTGTTAAACTTGTATAGCTTCTTTCTGCCTTATTAACTTTAAATATTTCATATGAATAAAATCATGGAATTTTCTGCTTATTTGGTTGGTATATTTTACTAAGAGAAATTTCCCCCAGATTTATGTTATACATATTATATTTATTTTGTATATAACAAGATTGTCTTTTTTCCCCTTAAGGATGGATCTTATTTCACTACAGGATTGTGCCATCTTTTCTTAATTTACTCATCTTTTTGCTTAATATTTAAGTTGTTTCTTTATCTTTCCTATTGCAGATACTGATACAGATTACAAAGATGAGAATACAAATGTCTTTGATTTATGCAAATTAAAAAATCTTCTAGACTCACATTATAAATGCTGCATTGTATCTTCTTTCCTTTCCTTTCGGAGTTCCAATTATGCTTTGCGTATCTTTTATGTACCATGTCCTTATCTTCATTTTGTTCTTAGCTTCTTGTTTTGCTGCTGTGTACTTCACTCTGAAAATATTTTGGCTCATTAAGCTTTCTGCAGTCTTTGCTAGTGTATTGCTAAGACCATCTGTGATGGCTAATCTCAATTATCAACTTTATGAGATCTAGAGTCACCTGTGAGGAAGGCCTCTTGTCATGTTTGTGGGAGATTTTCTTGAAGATGATAATCGAGGTAGCAAGACTCGCTCATTGTGAGTAGCACTTTTCCCCTGGTTAGGATTCTGGACTACACAAAGGAAGAAAGTGAATAGAAGGAAAACACTCACTCTTCTCTCCACTTAATTAACTCTGAGACACAGATTACAGAGTGACACTCTCTTGTTTCCCAATTGCATATCCAATGTGACAACCTGCTTAGTCTTTGTATCTAATTTTTATTAGATTCCTTGTCATTTTCTATCTAATCATTAAGTATTTATATGTATAATTATCCATTCAATGTTTGCCTACTAAAGCTTATTCTAGATCTTACGTTTTAGTTGCTTTTTCTTTCTTTTGGGTTTCTGAGTTGTAGCCTTTTAACTTAAATAGCTGCTGTGTGTGTGTGTGTGTGTGTGTGTGTGTGTGTGTGTGTGTGTGTGTATGTGTGCTGCACCTTCTTCTTTCAGTAAAATTTCTCTTTGCTTCTGTAAATAGTGAGGCTCAGGGCTGATTACATTAGTGATCAGGAGTCTAGCTAACTAAAAGCTGCTGTTAGTCCTGAAATTTGATCAGTTTCCAGGGCAGTTACTCCTAAGGTAGTTCTCTGTGAGACATTTATGAATGCCTCCATCTTATTGCTGGCCTTGGAGAAAATGTTTCTCTGTAATATCTATGAAAGAGCAGAAGCTCCACTCAGTCTATAGCCTCTCAGTCTTTGCTTGGCTCTTTGTCTTTTGAATGTTCCATTCAATGATTTAAAGCTCAAATCTCAGAAGGAGAAAGGCAAAACATATATTCCTTTTATTCTAAATTAGCAGTTCTCAACCTGTGGGTTGAGGCTTGATGAGCCTGAAGTTGGCATACAGTGTATGACATCAAAGTCTTGGGCTCTCTAGTCTTACTCAAGTAAATCCTCTAACTACTGCTATCTGATTGTTTCTGTCCCTTCTTCAATGGGTTTCTTATAATTTAGCTCAGCATATACATGCAAGACAGCCTGAACAGACTTCATAACATTGTTTCTCTCTCCAGAGCTGGAACCCAAGGCACCTAGACAGCAAGTCAGCAAGAGAAAGCTGAGCAGGGAGGAAGACTATATGATCTTGAGTCAAACACGTCCTATTGGCTCTGGCCTTGGTGCTGAAGTCAGTCTATTGAAGTCAGGGCCTTGCACGACAAACATTTACATATGTATTGGGCCTGTATGTCAATTGCACTGAGGACAGGCCAAACTAAGAAGAGGTCAACTGCAAGCCCAGTTGGTTTTTTTGCTAGAGAAGTGGATTGGCCTACTAACCAAACAAAGCAAGTGCAAAAGTGTCAGTATAGAGACATTTATATAGTCTTGCTTCCCTCTGCCAGCCAAGGTTTCTGAGCTTCAGATAAGACTTAGTCTCTTCAAACAGCTTCCACACATTCACTCAGTCACACTGGGGAAATCTTCTTTCTCAAGTGATTCGAAATTAACTAATGTAGTTTTGATGACCTGAAGCTGTCATTACAGTGACTCCTAGCATGGTATTTAATTGAATAAGTGGAAGAAAAATGATGACAAAATGTTTGTTTCCTTCCTTCCATCTTCTAGTGTCATGAAGAGAGCTCATCTGTCACCCTTCCTAGCTAGAATCAGAAAGGACAAGTTCAAGGAAATGCAATAAAAACTGTTGCATTTATGCAATACAAATAGATGTTGCAATGCATAAAAAATGAATCTCACAC